ATGGGCTGGGGCTGTAGCTCAATGGTAGAGCGTTTGCCTACCATGTGTGAGGCACTGGGTTCAATCCTCAGCACCACATAAAAATAAATTAAAGATATTGTGTACATCTGTAACTAAAAAATAAATATTAAAAAAGGTCATAAGCTGTTGAATATATATCCACAAATAATTAGATGATGATGAAATAAAAAAACATTAAAAAAGTGGTAAAATTTCTACAAATTTTCAAGATGACACTCATCAGTCCCATAAGCTGCATTTATCTTATTCAAATTCTCATATAGCACATTACATTTCTCAAGTATTTTGGAAATCCTAAAGGAGAAAATAGGGTTATGGTTAAATTCATTTTGCTTTCTCACTTATTGGAAAAAAAGCCCACATCTATAAAGTAAAATGATGATGTCTTCAATCTCATCACTTAGAAACAAAGCACAAGAATTATTAAAGTAAGCAATTTGATATCTTTTAAAGCACTAAATTAAAGAATTCCAAACATCAGGCCTTGAGAGCAGTTTTTGTCTATTTGTGAGTTCTATGAGGTCTACATGGTGATGGATATAAGGGGATGATCTATGAAATATCTGACTGCCTCTCTACCCTCACCCTTGTGACCCTTCTCAGTGTAGGCAGTGAGTGATGCTGGTCTCATCTCTAATGCAGGTTTCATAAAGGGAGAAAGAGGACATAGTTTTTGTGTTTAGGTTATTGGTTTAATCTCAGTCCAGGGTGTAAGACAGAAAGATTTGGGAAAAGTCTCTGCTGATAAAGACATTATGTTCTTTATATCATCCCTCCGCCTCCAACACACAAGAGCCTCAGAAGTGGTAAGAGGCAAGAAGAAAAAGGGAATTTAAAAGCTGAAATGTTGTGGTCATGACAAAATGGAGCTGTGCTGGGGAGCTATAAGGACCATGCCATTAGAGGCCTGTTAGAGAGTTAGCCACATTACATGGATGGCCGCATAGATGGATTACTGAAGAGCCAGTGCAGACTACATCAAGAGCCCAAGAAGTGGGCCCCTTCTACCCACCACCGTTATTTCAGTCTTACATAAACTCTGGAGTTCAAAATCAACATAAGGATCATGAAGGAGGGAGGAGATGAATCCTATATCTGGTTAAGTTTAAATATGAAATTATTAAAAGAACCCCAAACATTGAATTGCCTGAATTTTACATACATGAGACTGGATTGTTTCTCTCAGGAACAACTTTGCCAAAAGAAAAAAATGAAGCCCATTTCTAGCCAGCATAAAGTCCAGAAACTTGTCTGCTTGCTTATGACTGGATAACAAGCAATTGCTTAGCACCTAGAAAGTAGCATTTTGATAGGTATCTGTGGAACATAAAGATATATTTTCTTGCAGAAAACACTGATTTTGCAGAATTATTTTCCTTGCAGAAAATAATGATTTGAATCTTCCTGAAGATTTTAAGCATCAAACCAAATTGGGAAATGCTGCTCTAATCAATTTGACTATTTAATTGTTTGACCACATGCTACTTATTCTCAGTTTCATCATGGTGCTAATGCTATAATGCTATACCTTTCCCCCAATCTCCTCTGTGACTGTACCTGCTGGAATAGTCTTTTTTTCAATGCTCACCTCAGTTGGTTCTTCTTCTTTGAAGTTTTTCTCCTGTCACCTCTCAGCTGGAAAGGAATGCTCTAACTTCTGAACAATAGTGTCTGTTTGTACCTCTTACAGAATTTTCTGAAACTTCTCAAGGTCTGTTTTGTTTCATATTGTTACAGAATGAAAAAGCACATGATGCACTCTGTTTATTCTTATCTCCACTTGCCCTACCATCTCATCACTTTTTTTTTTTTTGGCAGCGTGGGGTATTGAACCCAGGCATGCTAGTCAAGTGCTCTACCACTGAGTTATATCCCAAGCCCTATAGTTACATATTTTAAAGTGAATGTTTATAAAACATTTGTTTACATTTTCATATGGCATGTCTATTTTACTTACTTTACTTTTAATTTGCATAAAATATACATGCATAGTTTAACAAACAATTATAAGATGAATGTACATGTAACCTCTACCTGACTTAAACAATTGAACATTGTTAACACTTTGGAAAGATACCCCCAAACCAGGCACCTCTCTCTAATCACTCCTTCTTCCTACCCAGAATTAAACTAGAACTAGTATTGAGCCACCATTCTCTGGAGAAGTATAAAAGCTTTTGTCTGTTGGTTTAGTCAAGGTTTGTGCTATACTGCTCATTAAATTTTTGAAGATTGGGTTGGGAGTGTAGCTTAGTAGGAGAGTACTTGCTTAACATGTGCAAGACACTGAATTCCATCCCCAGCACTGAAAAAACAATTTTTAAAAATCACCTCAAGATATAACCATTATAATTTTTTGTGATAATAATTTCCTTTATTTTTTTCTTTTTAGTTTTATCACTTATGAATATAGCCTAAATATGTTTGCCTATTTGATATTATATAGTACGTATTCTTTTATATCTAGTTTATTTTGCTTGGTCTCTCTCTCGTCTAGCAAGGAGGTCCACAGAACAGGGTAGAGGAGAGTGTGGCTGCAGAGTCGCTAATCAAGACCTCCGGAGGCCAACCTGCCATCGTTGGTCTCAGGAGACAAGCACACAGAGGTTCCTGCAGGCACCTGCCCAGTGGATCCTTTTGAAGCACAGTGGGCTGCATTAGAAAGCAAATCCAAGCAGCATACTAATCCTTCCCCTACCAATGCATTTTCCAGTGATTTACAGAAGACATTTGAAATTGAACTTTAAGCAATCTCTCTGGCTTATGTGTCTTGTCTGTACCTAGGTAAAAGCAGGGGGTGGAGGTCAAAGGAGCAAAGAGACTTTGTATTCCTGATCAGTATACTTTTCACTAATCCTAAAGGTCCCAAGGAACAAGTCCAGGCAGGGAGGGGTGATTTTGAAAGAAGTGAAGAAAGCCATTCCTAGCAAAGACTGTCTTGCAGCTAAGCTAAAGAAATCAAGAAAATGTTGTGCTCTCTAAACCCCCTTCCTTTGTCCCCTTACAAATCTCTTACAATAGAAAGGCAGAGTATCTGAACAGGAATCTGTATTCAAAGCACATTTACTGGAATAAAAGCAAAATAATCTCCCTTTACTTTTCAGGCCATTCCTCTGCCTCCTCCCAGTCAGTACTGACCTGTCTTAAAGATCAAGAAGAGTGGTCTGTGCTCAGGCTGGGAAGAGAGGCAGAGGGTGCTGCCAGAATTCCTGGGATGGCACATCAGCAACTGCCCAGAAGAGCTATATTTTGGGGGTAAAGTTGAGCTTCCAGTTTGAGTAACAGAATAAATATTATAAACATATATCAAAAAAGCCAAAATCTTTATTTTTATGCATTTAAAATATTTTTAAAGAGTTCTCAATATTAAAAAATTGAGTTTTAAGTAATCTTGCCAAAAGTAAAAAGGATTAGTTGTAAGAAATTGCACATAGATTGAATTATCATTGATGCCTACTGAAGTAAAAAAAGAAAGGGCTGGAAGTTGCAGACAGGATCCCTAGCTTGTTCGCTATCATTCATTGTAAGTAGCACATTGCAACAACAATTATGCTTATGATCAATACATTCACTAGACTGTAGTTAAAAGAAAATGAAAGTAGTATTGTCCTGGTTTTAAACCTCTGTTGAAATTCTAATGTCATTATTTGAATGGAATCAATCTAAATATGTTCTAGAAAATATTTATTTTATATATTGTTGCAATTTCCTTATGTTAATTCTTTACTGTTTTAACACTAAGGTGACAATGACATAATCATCCACAAAGGGAGCACAGGTTACTGTGTTGGTTTGTGATGTGGGTCATGGTGGGTTTTGCCCTTTAAATTTTGTTCCCATGAGTTTTGTGGGGATGGGGATTCTGGTTTTATTAGCTTTGTGTATGTGCTCACTCCTCCTCACCTCCTTTATGGAGAGCAGATCATCCCATTGCCAGTTGCAGCCACTTGACCTCGGGTAACAACTGAGATCCCATCTCATTTTTACTTTTGAATGTTGACCTTACAAATAAATGTAAGTATATATATTTGTACTGATGAGAATTTATAATCTGCTCTAACAAAATAAATGTTCGTGGTAGAAAAAAAATAAAGACCTCCAGGACCAAGCAGGCAGCACGTCTGATTTTACTGCACAGTTACCATGTATATATACTCAGGCAGTAGCTAAGCAGATTACAGGCAGCCACCAATGCAATTTCTGCCAACTGTACTTGCAGCAACCAATCGGAGTGGGGCTGTAAAGCCAGTGCAGGAACTGCAACACATGGCCTCACACCCAGGGCTGTGCCAGTGGGGTAAGCGGCCTGCCATTCCCGAACATAGCACAAGGGGAGTGGCCTGCTACTCAGACACCCTTAACGTATGCCATGCATACAGTACTCCATGCACTTTTCCCCACATTATTTCACTCAATAGTATGTGTCACGCATGTGGTTGTACATAGATGCTATTAAATTTCATTGGTGTATACTATTCCACTTTTTGAAAGTATTCAATTCAAATCTCATTATAGTTTTAATTTGCATTTTCCAGATGACTGCTAAGGTTAAACACCTTTTCATATTGCTTTGTTATTTCTTCATTGTCAACTTTTGTTTGCTTTGTCTTCTTTTTTTGTTTTTGGTACTGGGGAGTGAATCTAGGGGCACTTAACCACTGGGCCACATCCGTAGTCCTTTTTAATATTTTACTTAGAGACAGAGTTTCACTGAGTTGCTCAGGACCTCGCTAAATTGCTGAGGCTGGCTTTGAACTCATAATCCTCCTGCCTCAGCCTCCTAAGCCATAAGGATTACATGGATGAACCACCACATCTAGCTGTTTTGTCTTCCTTAGATCAATATCTTTTAGGCAGGGGCCTGCAAACTCAGTTCAGAGCACATTTTTATGTGGTCACTGACCTAATATTGGTTTTTACTTTTTTAAATTGTTGGAAAAGTCAAAAGAATAATATTTCACTATATGTGGGGGGTTTTTTTGCGTTTTTTTTTTTTTTTTTTTGCTTTTTAAGTGCTGGGGATCAAACCCAGAAACTCATACATGCTAGGTAAGATTCAGTTTTATTGGAACACAGGCATGCTCATGTGTTTACCTATGGTCTATGACACCCTTCATGCTACAACAGCAGAGCCTTGTCACTGAGACAAAGTCATTATACTCTGTAAACAGCCTCAAATATTCACTCTCTGGCCCTTTATAGAAAAACCTGCTGGTCCCTCTTCTAGGTTACTGGTTCTTAAACTGTGGTCCCTGGACCAGCAGCATCAACATAACCTCAGAACTTGTTAGAAAGGCAAATTCTTGGTCCCACTCCAAACTTACCAATTCAGATACTCTGGGAGTGGGGCCAGCCATCTGTGTTTTAACAAGACCTCCAGGTGATACTGATATACAAGTATCCATTTTTTTGGCAAGTCATCATAGTCTTTGGAATCTTGTTCCAATGGGTTAACTGCAAAGGAGTTCTGAAAAATATTATGTAAGTGTGGAAATGACAGATCCTTTGGCACTCGCTTTGCTGCTACTAGGCTCTAGGTTTAGAGTCTGTGTTCCTGAAGCTAAAATTCCAGATTCCTCTGTGTTTCCAAGGGCAAAGAGAATGAACACATGTATGGGGTTGGTGTTTGAGGATGTGGCTGTGAATTCACCTAGGAAGAGTGGAAGGAATACTTTCCACAGGGACATGATGCTAGCGACCTCCAGCAGCCTGGAATCATTTGGTTACCAAATTACCAAACCTGAAGTGATCTTCAAATTGGAGCCAAGAGCAGACCCATGGATGGATGAAGACTATCCGCATCAAACCAGAGCATCCCAGATGTCTAGAAAATGAAAGAGAAGAACTAGGAAAATCAAGACTGACATTCCTGGCAACTTGTGATCATGATAACCCTACATTATCTGAGAAGAGGGTTCAGTGAGGAAAAACATTTTATTTGAGCTAAAACTGTATTTCAAAACTGACTATAAATAATGGAAAATATTTAGAAATGAGACCCAAAGTGTTTTTAAAAACTGGTATACATGTGAAATCTGGCAAAAAAGTTTTTTTTTTTTTCCTGAAGGAGGAAAAATGGGAGAAACCACAAGAGGACAACATATAACAAAGATGAATCAGATATGGTCCCTATCCTAATAGAGGTCAGTCTAAGCAGGTAAGTTTCCTAACCCTCTTCTCATTCATTTACTTCAGAACCTACCTTTGGGAAAGTGTGATTGCACCCAACTGATGATTCTAACAAGCAACGATGAACAGGGTAAATTAATTTGGCAAACACAGTTTTGCCTTCTTCTTAATTTAGAAGGACTGGCTTTCAGTAATTATGTTCTTCTAACTTTTTTATGGTACTGAGGATTATATTCAGGGGCACTTTACCACTGAGTTACATCCCCAGTTCTTTTTATTTTATTTTATTGTTATTTTGAGACAGGGTCTCCCTAAGTTGTTGAGGCTCACCTCAGACTTATGTTCCTCCTGCCTCAGCCTCCTGAGTCACTGGGAACTTTCTCATATCTTGACTTTTTCCTTGGCTCAGTCTAAAGCTCAATGCATCACCCTTTCCCCTCTTCTTTTTTGTTAACTAACATCCACTGAGTTTACATTACATTCCTAGACCATGCTAAAATTTTTACATATATTTTACGTTAAATCTTCATAAAACCACTTTGAATTAGGTATTATTGTACTCACTTTGGAGATGCAATCTGAGGTAAGAGAGGTAGAATAAGTTGGTAGAATTTGAACTCCAAGTCTTTTTGACTACAGAGCCAAAGTTGGTAATACCCACTATTTGTCTTCTAATGATTTTTATCATGGATGATATTGTGCCTTTAGCAAATCCAGTTCAGATTATTTAGCATGTGTTTCATGTTTTTTAAAAATATTTTAGTTGTAGTTGGACACAATAGCTTTATTTTATTCATTTATTTTTATGTGATGTTGGGGATTGAACCCAGTGCCTCACATGTGCTAGGCAAGTGCTCTATTACTGAGCCACAACCCCAGTCCACATGTGTTTCATGTTCTAGGGTATCACAGACACATAGAATTTTGAGGATAGGACCACTTTTAAAAATCTGCTATATCTTTTTCCTGAGCTAGGTTTTGTGTGATGGTTTTTAATTAATTATGTTTTTGGTTTGTAATTAATTATGTTTTTGGTACCAGGAATTGAACCCGGTGGTGCTTAACCACTGACTCACATCCCTAGCCTTGTTTTCCTTTTGAGATAGGTACTCTCTAAGTTGGTGAGGCTGGCTTTGAATTTGCCATTTTTGCCTCAGTCTCCTGAGCCACTGGGATTACAGGCATGTGCTACTGCACCCAGCTCTGGTAGTTTTTAAAAGTAAAAATAATCCTCATATATACAATATAAAATGACAAGGGTTAACAGCAATTTCTCAAGGGGCCGGGGTTGTGGCTCAGCGGTAGAGCACTTGCCTAGCATGTGTGAGGCACTGGGTTCAATCTCCAGCACCATATAAAAATAAATAAAGAAAGAAAGAAAGAAAGAAAGAAAGAAAGGTGTTGTATCCATCTAAAACGGAAAAAAAAATAAAAAAGCAATTCCTCTACTATATAACCTTATTGTAAACAGTAAAATACATCATATTATTTCCATTATATTACATATTACTACTATATGATCCCCTCAGTCTAAAATAGTTCTTTTCCTTTTTTAGATTCACCCTATCTTCTAGCTCATTCATCTGTTAGGGATTACTTCAACTTGTCAAACTTTGAACAATGTTTTGCCATTCACCTTTTAAAAATGTTATCTGTTTGGGCTGGGGTTGTGGCTCAGTGGTAGAATGATCATCTAGCATGTGTGAGGCCCTGGGTTTGATCCTCAGTACCACATAAAAATAAATAAAGGTATTGTGTCCAACTACAACTAAAAATAAATATTTTTAAAAATTAAAAAAGGTTATTTGTTAATTATGTAAAGAAACACATCCACTGAGAAAACAGGAAGTGATAGGGAAAATAAGAACTCATCCATGATTCTACCATATTGTAACTAATGATAACATTTTGAGTAGACCTTCTAAGGCTTATTCCTTTGTGGGAATGTATTTATGTAATAAGGTTTTTTCCTTTGGCAAAAAATAGAATCATTTTATTTATTTATTTTCCCTGCTCTTTTTCATTCGACAATATTTTAGGAGCATATTTCCATGTCAACAGAGGTCTATTTAAAATAATCATTCTTGGTGCTTGTATAATATTCCATTTATAAATGTATTATAAAATGTGTTGCCAATCCCTTCTTCTTGGACATCTAAGTGTTTTCCATATGGTCTCCTCTCTTTGCACTAGCTATCCTAAGAACCATTACTTTTCTGAGAATGTACTTTTTTTTTTTTTTTTTTTTTTTTTGCTCAGTAGTTGGGAATGAAACCAGGGATGTTCTACTATAGAACTACATCCCTAACCTTTTTTTTTTTTTAACAAATTGAGATAGGGTCTTGTTAAATTGCCAGGGATGGTCTCAAACTTGCTATCCTGCTGCCTCAGCCTTCCAAGTAGCTGGGAGAACAGGCATGCACCACGATGCCTGGCTGAGAACTTACATTAGATGGAACACCATGAAGACAGATGGCAGAAATATTTCTCAGTCATTTTTGATATGATTTCTACTGTCAAGGAGGAGGCCTTGTGAAGAACAAGAAACTCAATAAAAATGAAGTGGAAAGATGAGGTTTTTAGCCAGTTCTGGGATTTGAATCTGGCTTCTGTAATTTCCTAGCTATGGAATCTCAGATGAGTTATTTAGCTTGTTTCCATTTTCTCATCTGTAAAATAGGAAATTAATATTTATTTCATGGAATTATTTGGAGGATTAGCGATGTCATATCAGTACCTGTTAACATGGTAGGTGCTCCAGAAATGATAGAATATACCAGTTATTACCATTACCTTTTACTTAACATAGAGAGCACCAAGAAAAAAATCATTTTCAAAAATGCTACTATTATAAATGCCTCTCAGAAAAGTGGTGAAACAGCTTACTTATATGAGCAGAATGGTTTTATAGTTGTAAGCAAGATACTGCAACCAGAGTCTTACGTACCAGTTTCGAAAGAACATTGATCAACTGGGATAACAATGTGGTTTTAAGTCATATTGTGGTTTCAATGACAAGTTTCAGATATATGATAAGACAAGGAACACCAAGTCTTGGACCTTGCCCTTAAAGAACTTTTTAATGTTCAAGACTATTTAATGCCACCAGTTGATACTCATTCTGGTAGCAACTAAACAAATTTGGCTATGTGAAAATAATTATTGGACAACCTCTACAATGTTCACAATCTGCTAAAATGGACATGTTGTACAGTAGACTGAGATTTGTTTCAGGGATCCCAAATAAGACCCCAAGGTTTTTTAAAAAATATTTTTAAAGTTGTCAATGGACTTTATTTATATGTGGTGCTGAGAATTGAACCTAGTGCCTCACACAAGCTGGGCAAGCACTCTATCTCAGAGCTACAACCCCAGCCCAAGATCCCAAGGTTTTGAATAAAAATTTCCTTTGTTCTCCAACTCCAAAGGAGTAGAGCAATTAAAGACCATTTCAAATGAAAGGACATAAGAGGGTAAAGTGGTAGCAGATAGTGTTGAGTAGAATCAAGAATGAGGTAAATTGTTGAACAAAGTCTACAGATCATAAATTTTAGGAAGATTTGCAAATAGGGATAGCACATTTTATGTAAATAGATGTTGCCACAAGCCAAAGGGTAATATTTACATGAATTATGTGTTAAGACCTATTAGAAGCATCAACTTTACCAGTCAAATTCACATATTTGGTAGCACTTTCTTTCAGTCATTTCATCTTGAAAAGGAAAGATCACATTATACACATGAAAGTTTGCCAATGTACAAATATGTTCTGTCCTCCGAGTCAACTTCTAATTTCTTGTTTTGGAACCTGTAATACATGTTCCCACAGAAGAATTGTTACAATGGGATGAGTTTCCCAGACTTCCTCACAGAACTACATTTAATCCATGATGTCACAGAAACACTGCACCTTGGCAATGAGAAATATGGTTGAAAAAGTTCCTTTACAAGCAGAAACACATCAATACATAACCAATATTTTTTGAGTTTTTCTCTTTTAAAGCCCCAGGCAATGAAAGGGGAATTCTATCTTCCCTCAACTGCAGTTTGGTGAAAAAGAAACCTTCCACTGCTGCCATCTGGAAGGGTCCTTCTCAAGTCAGGTGCATGCACATATTGCAGCATCCTTGCATTTCAGTGCTTCTAGAACTTTTTCCACCAAAGAACTGTTAACATTTGAGGAGACTGTATGAGTACTGGGGAAGGAGTAGGATATTTAACTGGAGGTCTCAAGCTTCTCTTTGGAGATGCTTCACATTTTATAGTCCATTCCTTAATATATCTGCACATTTTAATAGAAAAAACATTTAAATGATCATTGAAGTGACTTAATTCCATATCATCCCTCCTCTCCATGTTTTACTGAAATTGATGCTACAGAAATACAAGCCATTTTTACATGGAGACACCCTATGCCCAAACAAAATTGGATACACTTCAGGATGAGAAACACAGGCACTGGAGGGTGGAGTGAGGTTGGGATGGGGAATCTAAAGTAAATGAAAAGAACATAATGAAGGTAATTTCAGAACAAAGGTAGTGCCATCAGTTTCTCCTTTCATCACTCATTGGTATACCACTTTAGTCACCAGTGCCTCTCTGCCTCTTTTTCCCTGTTCAAAACCAATCTCTGGACAGGATCTACACTCATTCACACTGAGGTGCAAACGAACAAGAATAGCTAAAACCTCACAAGGTTTTTTCATGTTGAGGATTCATTTTTTTTCTTTTGCTCCAGGGATTGAACCCAGGGGTACTTAACCAATGAGCCACATCCCCAGCCCTTTATATATATATATTTAAATTTTGAGACCAGGTCTCACTAAATTGGTTAAGGCCTCGCTAAATTGCTGAGTGGGCTTTGAACTCATGATCCTCTTGCCTCAGCCTCTGAAACCCCTGGTATTAGAGGTGTGCACAACGAGCGCCTGGCTAAGGATTCAGTTTTAAACAAAAAGAAATTTGGGGTGGTATTGCCAGAGAAAAAATATATCTGGGGTCAACTGTGTGCTAATCCTGCTACTTGCAGAATTTACACTTTATTTCAGATTGGTAATTTACCAAGGTATACTGAGGAAATTAATCACGACTTTGCTTCATTTTGGAAATTGTACGCTTACTGGTTTTTGAATTTTTAAAGGCTAGGATATAAATCTTCCAATTATTGATCAGATTAAATGATGAGAAATAAAAGTAACGTTTAATAATTATATTTGCATGCTTTTGCACCCTTTACAATATGTTTTTACATCCATAGTCATGCACATCATTGGCGTTGAATTATGACCAAATAATGAGTATGGAATAGAACATGAACCACCACCTACAACAAATTACAGCTATTAAATTCAGTTACTAATATTAAGTACCTACCATGTGTTGTCCCGAGTTTTGTGGAGGATCTTGACCTTGTCCCTCCCGCCCTGAGTTTGAAAATTCAGTGGTGAAAGCAAAAGAAGGGTTTCTGCACATTGGCCATCTGAGACATACCAGAGTTGAAAATAGAACAAACATACATAAAACCCAAGAGTCAGGTTTTGCCTTGTAAGTGAATGTTTGCAATCAAGAGATTCAAGGAGTGCCTACCATTGTGCAGAATTTAGGAAGGTGGGAACAGCACCATTAATCTATTCCTTTAGAGACCTGGAAAAAGGGCAGTCCTCAGAAGGGTTCTGGGCTTTGCAAATGGTGAGAAATACCTTCTACAGTACAGTTATACGCGAGGAAAAGTTCTTTGTGCAAGAAGGGGAGAGCGCCCCGAGGTACAAAGAGCAGATTTAAGGGAAAGAGGATTCCTTTTGCTCACATCTACGAGGGGAGCTCAGGCTCACTGTTGGGGGCGTGTGGGAAAATAGATTTTCAGGGGGCTACAGGCCGTGGGTTCCCGCCTCCGCCGCTGTCCGCGCCCCACACTCAGGCAACAGTTGGTCGTGCGGGGCCGGGCGGACTCTGGGTGGGGAGGGGGAGTCTCGCGATCGTTGAGGGGGGGTGGAGGAAAGGGGGAGGGTGACGGGGGGGAGGCCATGACGTAGGGTGGGTGGACGGAAGTGGGGCAGGGTTGAGGGTTATTTAAAGAAGGGGGGGCCGAGCGAAGGGGTTGGAAGCAGAGTGATTCCCCACCCCTGCTCCATCTAGCTCTTTCCAGTGCAGCCACTGCCGCCGCCCAGGAGCCCTCATCCCCTTCCTAGCTGTCCCCCTAGCTGTCCCGCTCCAAGGCCATGGAGCCGGACACCGCCGCAGTGGCAGCCACCGTGGCAGCTGCTGATGAGACCGCCACGATCGTGGTCTTAGAGGACGAGCAGCCCGGGCCGTCCACCTCTAAGGAGGAGGGAGCGGCCGCCGCGGCCACCGAAGCCACCGCAACCACGGAGAAGGGCGAGAAGAAGAGGGAGGTAAATAGGAAGGGGGTGTGTATGTGTGTGTGTGGTGGACAAATCCAGTGCCTGGCCCCTCCGAGGGGCCCAAACCCTGACCTTTCGGCGCCGACAGGTACCAGTGGAGCTCTGCAGGGGTGGGGGCGGCGGGCTCGGGGATGGGGGCGGTGGAACAGTCTAGCATTCACTCCCCTCCCCCTTCCTTCTCGCCGCCTGGAGGGCGGGGGCGGGGCTGGGGCGCGGGCGGGCGCGGCGAGGGGTGGAGGGGTGCCCGTTATCCCAGGGCTTGGGAGCCCTCCACAGCCCCAGGCCCCCTCTACCTTCCCGGAACTGGGGTAAAGGGTGGGGGATGGGACCGTGCAGGAAAAAGCCTCCGCCTCTCCCTCTCCCTCTCCCTCTGCTCGCTCTCCCCCCTTTCCAGTAGGCCTCTGCCTGGGAAATCTGGGCCCTTCAATCCCACATTCGCGCTACAGGGGTTTGTCTGGGGCTTATTTTTGTAATTTGAATTTCAAGGTGCTGATGGTTGCGGGGGATGGAGAATGATAGGGAAGACATTTATTTCTTTGGCAATGTAGGTCTTTTGGATTGCAGAAAAAAAAATCTCCCTTGTTCGTTTGATCCCCTCCTGATGAGGTGGGGGGGGATGTCACCTCGAGAAAAAGCCCTCCGCGTCGTACCCCACTAACCATATCCCACACCGAGAAGCCGTGCATGCTGGCTTAGGAAAATTTCCAACGTCTGCACCCTCACCCTCTCCGGCCCCGCCCCCGACGGTATAGTGTTTCACTCCAGGGCCACCCAAATGGTCCCCCAAACCGGCCCCAAGCCTTCCAGGCTTCTACCTCCCTCTCCTAGTGGGCGCTGCTGGTTCCCGCAGGTTTTTATTTTTTATTAAATTTTAAACCCAGCGTAGCCAGGATGAGTTGCTACTAACATGTTAGGGGACTGTTCTCCCATCTATTAAAGCCAAGTCTAAAAAATGTGTTTATTTCCATAAGACATAATTCACTTGGATCGAGCAAGACATGAAAATAAAACTACGAAAAGCTTTGAAAAATTGATATTAAAAGACAGGATGGAACATAAGGTGTTTTGATGTATAATAAAATTGCAGAACGGATCATTTATATGTGGATTTTTCCCTTTTACCAGTAGACATATCACAATTAAAAAATGGTGGGTAATTAAAATTATGCTTTAGAGATCTCGAGTGGCTTTGTCTGAATCATTATATGATACTTACGACCAAATGAAAAGCTTTTGCGTGAAATTAACATCTTTCGCCATGAATTAAAAGAGTAGTTTTAAATTCAGCAGTTGCTTAAGTGACATATTTTACTGTTACAAGGTTGACTAAACAGAAAGACAATTGTAGTGATAAGTGGAAAACACACGATTTAAGATCTCTGCGGTACCTGAAGCAGTAATACAACATTGGTGATTAAAACTGGACCGTATACCAAGCATCAATATAAATCAAATGTGAAATCAGAAATGTTTCTAGGTAACCTTTTATTTCCTAGACTCTGCAGATGTAAGTGCTGAAGTCTCATTTGTATAGCAGTAAATGTTGTGGAATTTCTAGATTCTATGTTTTTTGAATTGTGAAGTGTCTTGGGAGTAATAAAAAAACCTATATTAAGCACTGAGTTGATTACTATATATTCATGAACAGCTTTAGCCTCATTAAAATTGCCCCAGTGGTACTTCATTTGTCTACACAGGTTGGGGAAATGAGGTACTATATGTCAGGAACTTCCTAGACGACTAAGGTGTATTACTTTAATCACTATAACTTTCTTATTTTTATTTTTTTATTTTTTGGAAAAATCTAAATAATTGTATACTACCTTGAATTCTCAAAGGGTGTACTAAAAGGTTAGATTAACCTTTCCCTCATGACCATCAGTTATGTTCTTACAGTGACACAAAAGCAATTGAGATCCAGCAGGTTGTTTTCCTTCAATTAAAAAAAAAACACTTCCCAGACACTTTGAATATTGTCCTGATTATTTTTTGTCTGCTCCCTCAATTGCTCTTCTGATAGCTATCACGTCATCTACTTTCATCAGAAGGAATTGGTTAGTTTATAATAGGACACAGATGAAACAAAATCATAAATCATTTAAAACAACTCTAAAATACAAAAATTCCAGTGGTGCTGACCCCAAGGATAAGGGATGCTACTGCACTAGAGCACACATTTTACTCCTGGGTTTCTACTATCCCTCTTACTGTTGATCAAGTGCCTTCCTCTCTTTAGTGGTCTTTGCTCCATCATTTGCTGCTGCTTTTATTCTCTGGGGTATGGGAAACCAGATTATCAAACTAGCTAGAATTATATATCAAATAAAAACAAATAGGCTTCAGAATGAGAATACTTTAATGCTGAACAAAGTAGATGAGATTTAGTGAACTGACTTCTTTTTTCTGTACCAGGGATTGAACTCGGGGCACTGAACTACATCCTCAGCCCTATTTTGTATTTTATTTAGAGACAGGGTCTCACTGAGTTGTTTAGCACCTCACCATTTCTGAGGCTAGCTTTGAACTCTCGATACTCTTGCCTCATCCTTCTGGGCATGCACTACTGGGCTGAGCATGAATTGACTTTTTACATTTGACTATTCAAAGATATTTTTGCTTACTTTGGTTCTTGGACTTAACCTGGCTTAAGTATCAATAAACCAGGTTAAATTCTATTAAAATTATTTTTAAATTTTTTTAGTTGTAATGGGACACAATGTCTTTATTTTAATTTTTTTATGTGGTGCTAGGGATCAAACCCAGTGCCTGACACATGCTAGACAAGTGCTCTATTGCTGAGCCACATCCCCAGTCCCTTAAAACTGGTTTAAGTGATAATTTAACATGATAAGAATTGGGAGATGATATTTTGGGTAGTGAAAAACTGAAGAAAAAGGTCATGGTCTTTAAGACAAGGTCTTTTCATGACCTTGTGTTGTATTTTCATGACATCTACACTACCAGATGATAAAATCCACAAGGGATCCATTAGAATATTTTTTTAAATATTTATTTCTAAGTTATGGGTGGACACATTACCTTTATTTTACTTTTATGTGGTGCTGAGGATTGAACCCAGCGCCTCACGCATGCTAGGTTAGAGCTCTACCACTGAGCCACAAATATTCAGTCCTCTTTATAATATTTTATTCACCTTTTATCTTTTCCTGTTTGAGAAATACATTTTGAAAACATATGCACATAGACAAATGAGAAGGTTTAGAAGGTAGGTATATTAAAATTTGTTATGGAAGATAGTGCCAATTAAGTAATTACCCATAGCTTTTAATAATACTACTCCAGATTAGAGATATGGTATTCTACCGCAAGGTAAGCAAAGAAGTAATGAATAAAATCTTTTCCTAAAATTGAAGTTTTAATTTTGTGTAAGTGAAGCTTATTTCTCACAAATACTCATGTATAAGCGATACAGTAATTGTCACTGTTTGGAAACTTGAAAACTATATAGACTTTTAAGGAATGATGAAGTTGTGGATTTTGATATCCAATTTTTTTTTGTTGCTTTGAAAATTAAAATGAGCCATAGATTATTGTTTGAAAGTGTGGGTTCCTTTTGCAGATTTCTATTCCCTTTCATCCGGGATTAAAACATTTAAAACATTTTACATAGATGATCTGTACATAGGAAAGTCTATAAATCAAGGTGATTGTTCTCTGATCAGCACCCCAGAGTACGACTCTGACCAGATCAAATTTCATAATCTTAGTTTGGATTTCCTCAAAGTAGAAATTTTAGTAAATGTTGGAAGACATGCTCATTAATTCTTAGAGCCATTTTTTCTTATATTTAACTTCCTCTTCTGTTATTAATTTTAATATAGGACTTTAGAAACAGATTGGCAAAGGCCATGTTAAAATTGACATATTAATTTTCACCAAATGACGTGTTTTGACTTATATAAAATCTTAGTTAAAACATAAATACTATTGATGTTGGTTTTATTTTTTTTTGGGGGGGGGTGGTACCAGGGATCGAATTCAGGGACACTCAACCACTAAGCCACATCCCAGCCCTATTTTGTATTTTTTATTTAGAGACAGGGTCTCACTGAGTTGTTTACCTCCTGGCTGTTGTTGAGGCTAGCTTTGAATTCAAAGTCTTCCTGCCTCAGCCTCCCAAGTCTCTGGGATTACAGGGTTATTCTACCATGCCTGGCCTTGGTATTGGTCTTAATGGGTATATTTTTGTTGTCTTGATTTCTTAGAGGGGAGTATATTTATTCTTTACAGGTCCTTGTAAATGCAAGTGAGATAACCCCTCCACCACCCATATAATTTCAGTCTTTTTAAGTTATTGGCTGATGTTTGTTTTCCCTAAATTGCAACTTTTAAAATATCAGTAGTTAATAGTTAATAGCTCTGATAAACCACTTCTATAAATTATTTATTTAACATAGTTTTACATAGTTTTCTTTCTAGTTAGAGAAAACAAATGCTTGCCAGTAGTTTGAAGCTTTACTATTAAATCATTTAAAATATATATGATCACATTGCATTGCACAAAAATTTAAATGTTCTAGTTAGACTATGAAAACAATCTTAAAATGT